GTTTAAATCTTCCAGACAAAATTATAAAAGTGCCGGTCAAAGGCCTTCTTTGTTATTTATTGAGATTTAAAACAAATGAATAACAAATCTATATAATATAATAATAAAATACATGGAGCCTCTCTTTTTCTTCCCTCTCTTCGGACAGCGTCAGTGTCTGTCTCAAGCAGCAGCTGATTCAGTAATGAGTGACCCGGCCGACAGTAAGAATAAACATATTTATAACTAGTTTAGGTAGTTTGAGAGGTAATTCAAATAGCTAAGGGTGATGATCTGACTTGAAGTGTGTGTTTTGCTCCGTTCACCGCTGCATCACAGCGGGAGGAGCTGCAGGTGAGCAGAGCTGCGTCTGCGTGTCTCCGTCCTGTCAGATTAGACTTCATTCGCGTTTATGTCCATATCAAGAGAAAGATAAATAATCTGAATTCAGTGTGCAGTTTAGTTTGACGCGGGGGTGAGCAGCAGAGGTGGGGAGAGGCGGGGCTATTGCGTCATCATTATCAGAAAATGATCGTATAGGGCGCACACACGGAGTCTTTGGACCCCCCAAAGCGTTGCGTATGCCGTTCTATCCACCTTGGGACGCGTTATCGTTTCCGCAGTTGTTTACTGTCATACTCGGTCGTCCTCGTGTGGCCGAACGGCCTATATGACACTAAACAGTAACGCAAACGACCATTTTCGTCCTCGTGGGGCCGGGGCCTAAATTGCATTGAGATAAGTGAGCCACAGCCTAGCTGACAAACTATTTAACCAAAGATAAAGCAGCGTGCATACATTAGGACTTCAATGCAGGTCAATTATGTATTGAAAGTCACTCCTATTGAATTTTAGACAGCACTTTAAGATGATTATAAAATATATTTAAAGCATAATTAATGTTTTTGATATATTTTATAAATAATGTTTTTATGAATTTGACCCTTTAAAGTGTCTTTGAGTACCCTAAAAAGCGCTCTTCAAATAAAATGTATTATTATTGTTATGTAGTGGTCATCTGTAAGAGGCAGAAAGCTCCTGTAAAGCAGACATCACAAGAAGTTAACATGAAGACCGACACAATCATTTGCAGCACAACATAAACACTAAATCTGTACACACATATGAGAGCATTATCACAGTTACTCCAAGATGCCAAACACGAACAGCACATGGCAAAAGGTATCACCCAATGGACATGGATCAACGTTATCTGCATCATATCTTTTAAGCTTTTCTTAGATTGCCCCCCCTCCTTCTTCATTGCCCCTCACCAGAATCCTGGGGGTTCCTTGAGATAGCGGCACTTCTAAGACAGGGGTGTCCAAACATTTCCCACTGAGGGCCACTTACAGAAAAGAAGTGAGCAAAATCAATCAGATGTAGGTCAATTCTGCTTGATAATTGAACATGGTTAAAGAGGTTTGGGGGGTGATAAGGCGAAATAGGCAGGGTATATTACAAGCTTGTTATACAAATACGTTATTTTTAGTACAATAAAAGACAAGCACAAGTTTCATTTGTGGGCCATATTCCATTATCCTTTTAGAAAATGTGCTGCAGGCCAATTTAAAACGGACCATTCGCTGCAGTTGGCCCCCGGGCCGTAGTTTGGAGAACCCTGTTCTTCGAGTTATCTTGTGTGAATGGCAATTCTTTCTAGGTGTCCCTAGGTGATATCCTTCTGTAATCTCCCTCTCAAATGTAAAAGTGCCCATATCATATGGACTCCTGAAGCTCTTCATTTCTCCCTTCATCCCGCCATTTTCTCTCTCCCTCTCTCTGCCCCCATCCACTCATCCTTTGCTCCATTTGCAGAACAGCTGGAGGACATCAGCTCCAGTCTGTGTGAGCTGACAGAGAGTGAGCTGTCACTGGAACTCCTCTCCTGGGGGGGGTCTATGAGTTTCAGTGCACCTCAAAGACATTGTTGATCAGGGAGACAAGGCTAAAATAAAGAGAAGATGTGGCCTCTAATTGATAACCTTCCCACGTGATGGGACACCCCCCAATCACATAATTACTTATGTGTTTCCTTTTTATTCACCTGCGCGATGATTAGTTAGCCACACACCTATGAGGTTGAACACTATTATACTTTCCTGAGGGACTCCTTTTCTGTCATTTTCCTTCCCTCCTCCACCCTTCCTACAGCCAGGTATTCAATTATATATTCACCTCACACATTTGCCTGCGATATCTACATTTCCATTCATTTTCCAGCAGTTGAAGGCCAGATGAGGCATTTTTTCTTTCAAACTTGATTTAATCTGATCCACTACACACAAATAATCTGGGCAAGGTGATGAAATACCTCACAATTATCTGCTCAGAATGATTAATATGGACTCCAACCTCTGTGGGCTCTCTTGTGTATGTGGATTATACAGATTGGAGCGGGCCAGGAGCCCAGACACCCTCCACTGTGTCCTAAACAGCCATGACTATAACCTGGCTTGGATAATGGATTGCTCCTGTCTGCCAGAACTTTGGTCAGTAAAAGTGTGTTGAGACAATGTTGTTAAAAGCACATTAAACTGAAACAACCTAGACACAACTCAATTGACCCATTATCTACTTAGGAAGGCAAAGAGGTCTACCAAAGAGATTAGGTTGGCTCTATCTCAGAAACAATTGGACACACACCTGTGGAGAACAGAGCAGTATGATATAATGACACACGACACCTTTATGCTCTAAAACTGTCAAACCACTGACTCTGTCCTGGCTGAGGTTGATGCCTCTGAAAATAAATCAACTGCCTTCAGCGAAACAGGGGGTTCTGCAAAACAGTCGGATATAAGGCCATATCGCCCCCCTCCCTCTCTGACCTGTACTACTAGTATATGGCTAAGGTGTTTGTTTTCTGGCAAATCACAATCCATATCTATTATCACAGCAGTGGTGAGAGCATTGATTGCTAATGATGGGGTTGAATCCAGCACAGGGCCAAAGAAGGGCCATGTCCCCTTCACTGCCTGGCTCGATCAGAGAAGATTATAGGACCAATTATATTCAGGCACGTAGGCACACAGACCTGAAAACACACAATCTGCTGGATGCAAAATGCCGGAGTGTTATAGATCGCTGTTGCATTATCTCCTCACACAGAGACAGAGGGAATTGCCTTCTGCTAAGTGGTCCCTTCCCAACAGAACAAGACCTCAGGCACGTACACAGAGCACAGCCCGAGCGGCTGACTCCATCCCAGAGGTATGTAATGTGATCATGGCAAAGCGGAAGAAATACAGGAAATTAGGATTTAGATATTGAAATGAGGCCACCCTTTAACTGATGGTAAGGACATGTGTTGTGAGCGTGGAAATGTATACAAATTAATCTGTAGTTACAGCTTAGTCTCACAATGCTACAGTATATGCATTAATAATTCCTTAAAGCCCAGAGCTAAACTAATCCATTGTGACAGGAACTGGTCATGAGGAGAGATCATCAAAAGGATGCAGTGGATCCTCGCCCGGTGGTTTCCCCCCCACCACCCGTGTTTCTGGCAATCGATTCAGGCAGACAGAGAAAGATGACTGATGTACGGGCTGAATCTCTGCTTTGTGCGCCAGAGTCCGGCCAGCTCAGAACCCATTTAACGCGTCAGTCCTGTCTGTGGGTCCTCTGTCTGTCTGTGCTCACCACTGCAACAGCTGTCTGGAAAGACGCTGACGCTGAGGTGGTAATCCGAAAAAGCACCCATGTGAGCAGAAGTGGGAACAGACACAGTTTTAGTGGTATTGGTGGTGAAGTGTGTTTAGCTTCAGACTGTGAGAGAGAGAGTGTGTGGCTGCAGCAAAATGACCTGCCGGCCCTGTTCCCATATTAATCACAGTAGCGTTTCATTCAGACATTGTATTGTCACCAAGCCATTCCTACAGTGCTTGGTGACATACAAACAACAAGAATCCTGTATTCACCTCCAGTGTGTGTGCACTGCACACTGTACTCTACCTGCATCTGTGCTGGTCGATGTTGAAGCTGCCAACTTTACATTTGATCTTCGTATAAACATCTTGGACATCGACTGAGGCACTCAGGTCTTCAAGTTCACTGAGGACACATATTTCTGGCAAAAACACAAACAAGTAAAAATATTTTTGTAGATTTTAGGATCGTGAAGCTTATCACAGTGGAAATACATTTTTTTTAGGGAACATTAGTTTGCAGCACTGCGAGTGCAGGGAGTTTATGTTTACAGATGCCGTATGGCCATCACTGTACTTGGGAAACAGGCAATACAGCTGAACTCACACTTCAAAGGTAGTTTTATCTTTGTGTGTGTGTGTGTGTGTGTGTGTGTGTGTGTGTGTGTGTGTGTGTGTGTGTGTGTGTGTGTGTGTGTGTGTGTGTGTGTGTGTGTGAATTGAATTTATGTTGGCAAGAACCCTGCAATGTAGCTTATCAGGTCCTCATTCAACTTCTGTGGTCAGTTCCCCCCCGCAACTGCACCAATGAGCCACACAAATGCACCCATACACACGCATAAAGATACAATACTGTAGCACACTCAACGCAATACCTGCCGTTCTAAGGAACGAAGAAATTAGTGGCTTTAAGAAGAAAAAATGAATACAAAATCTCTCAGCCTGTTATAATGAAAATGTCTTCCTGTTTGTGTCTACACAATACTGAATGTTCATGGACTGTACATGTATTCATTCAAATGTATCATCCTGCCTCAATGCACCTTGTCTCTAAAAAAGCCCACCCACTTGAGGCAAAGTGAGTAAGTTTCATAGAGAGACTGATCAACTCTGTATTGAACGGAGCCTGCTCCCCTCATTGTTTCCACAGAGAAAGTCCCACATCACAGGCTAGCTTGGGAAAATGGACTTCATCCATGTGATGTTTCTGGTTGTTGTGGTAAATCTTAGAAATTCAGAGGTTACTAACGAATTATTGAAACAAAAGGCATGAGTTTTATTGTGAACACTGAGTGGAAACAACTTTTTTTAGAAACTCTGAAACTCAAAGTCTTGTTGTGTTGATATTGATGTTTGAGTTTTCTAAACCAACCATGTAAGAGAACAGGAAACCTTAATGGTCTTAAATGGCTCATCTTAAAGAAAGGAAAGTGTTCTGATGGTCTGTGCCTTGAGCAGAGCCCCTGGAGACTTATGCTTGAATTTCTACCTCTAATCTTCCAACATAACATAACAGTAGAACCCAGAACCAATTTGTGTGGAATGGGTGTTTTCTCCATTTCTCTAGAGAGACAAGATTCTTATTTATTTTGCAGTTTAAAAACATATGACATCATAGCAGATTGTCTGCATTCATATCTGAAGCTGACTTATTTCCAATAATGTACTTGTTGATATAGGAATCTAATATATTGCGTGCACACAATTATGGTTTTCAATAACATGCTTATTGTGTTTCACACAGAGAAGTCAGTAGTAAGTTCATCTCACAACTCAGATGGTAGATATTAAGCCCACATCCAAAGTAATGCCTATTTAGGATATTACTAAGTCAAACCATCTCTGTGAGGTCCTCCCAAACATTCCAATTCCACTGCGCGATCTGCGAGGCAGATGCTAAATATTACAGACAGCAATTAAACGTAAATCTAGCCTTTCTTTGCCCTTAGTAAATGTAAAGGAGAAAAGAGTTTGTTCGGGATTCATCAACAATTTATTTAGTTGTCTTTTCCCTCCATCCCTGCTTTATTCGGCTGCTTATCTTCTGGAGGAGAAAAACGGTAGGGTTGATCACTATAAGAAGGACCCTAAGAACATTCACTTTAAAAAGTACTCCTGCTTTTGGAGTTGTCTTTACTGTCACACAGTAACACACATATATCAGATCTCAAATTAATTAGTTTAACTACATTTTTCCTTTAGCATCAGTTAATGTAAAAGTCACTGAAATAACCGGTATATGAAAAAAGATAGCGTTAAGTATAATGTGGAGGTAAGAGTACCTTTCTGTTTGTCAGTGGGGTCGGGAGCGAACAGTTTAGCTGTGACCTTGGGCAGCATCCACTGCATCCACAGGCTGACCTTCCCACTGGTGCCCCCGATGCTGCTGGTTTTCTGCTCCAGAGTCACGGTGTCCGCAAACGGACCATCGTCTCCGGCTGGCACCGAGTCACCCTGGGGGGCCAAGACAGGATGTGTTCAACCCGGTAAAGTGGTAACAAGCCATATTTTCATTCAAAACTTTGACTGCGACATAATTCCAACATAGATACATAACATTTAAAAAACACCTGAAAAAACATCCTATCTTGTTAGCGCCATTAACAAGAAGAAGGCTGGATTTTCAGTTAAGAACTATAACAGTCAAACACGTTTTATGAAAGAACAAAGCACCAATACAACCTTTACTGTAGAATTCTAAGATTAGTGTGCTTTTGTTTATTTAACCGTGTGCATGTCCCTACATGTGTTTGTGCATGTATGTTTGAAAGTGTTGTCGCTGTGCATGTAGCCATAACAAAGCAACCACCAGCTTTCAAGCGTTTTTGGAGTAGATGACCTCAGTGTCTGGTGAGCAGAACTCCACTCAGAGCTGAGCCATGTGGGGGGAAAGGACCATTGTGTGGAGCTGTCATTGGTGTTAACCCCACACTAAGCCACCAGCACCCACATGGCCTGCTTTCACTCAAACACGCCAGGACACACACGTCTGCAGCCTGGGACAGAATAGGAAGTGAAGAGCCGAATGGGGGCGGAGGTGGAGAGGAGAGCAGGATGTGGCGGAGGAGCTCTCATCTCATCACTGTGGGTTTGGCATAGCACTGAGGATGAGAGCACTAGGGACATTTTTTATTTCTCTCATGCTCTGCCTGTTAAATCTGGTCTCCAAACATGTAGCTGCCTGGCTGACTCAGAGTGAAAAACCTGCAAACAAACAATATGGCAATTTGCAGCTCTGGCATTAGAGGGTTTCACTTTTTCCACAGCTTCTCCCATGGCGGCGTGGTAATGACAGATTGTGTCATGTATCTAGCCTGGCTGTGGTCGGTGAGGATATTATAAACCATCTCAATTAGAAAGCCCACAGCTGCTGGGCTGATTACAGTATCTTAAAGGGGCTCCAGATGAGGAAAATATGACCCTGATCTGCATCTGGGGGAGGGATGCTAAATTGTAAATGTATTTAATTGCGCAATTGAGGGTGGCTGATAATAAAGTTAAATAACAAATGATGACAACAAAATAAAGAAATAATATTATGCTGATTTAAAAATTGAAATGTTTTTTTAAAAAGTATATGAGAACCACTAGAAAACCGATATAAGACATGTGATCCTTTGTAAGCATACAGCATGTGCGTGTGTGTGTGTACAAGTGTGTGTATGTGTGTGTTTGTGTATGTATGTGTGTGTGTATGCGTGTGTGTGTATGCGTGTGTGTGTGTGTGTGTGTGTGTTTAGCACTGTTTAGTTTACAGTTCTGGCCATTGGGTAGGATTAGCCTGTGTCATGTGGCGTGTGGAGGCTCAGACCACGGTGTGGTCACACTGCAGCATCCAACACCTGGCTCAACCTGGTTCCTGGCCAGAACCACTGCTGTCACTTAAAAACATTTAGTCTATAAGATCACTCTACACGGCCCGTTAGAACGATAATTTATTATTGGACTGACATCTCCAGTTCTTGGAAAAACAAACGTTTATAAAAAGATTTTCTGGACTTTAAATAAAAAATGATTTGCTAATTATTTATTACCCTCAAAATGGTTCAGTTGTAAAAATCCAGAAAGAAAAAAAAAAGACTTTGAGGACATTTTAAAGCAAAGTAAAGAAATCCAAAAGTAAAACTAAGGTAAACATGAACGTGTTTTGATAAGGTCGAAAAAAAAGCTGGAGTTCAGGTTTTTATGAAAGAAAATCCCCTCCGCTCCCCTTATCAAGGTGAGGCCTTGAAGAACAGATGTGGTGGTGTGGCTTTGGTGGAGGTGGGCCTTCCCTGAACTGCCAGCTTGGGGCCCCCAACACACACACACTCTTAGAGGGAGCTATTTTCCCACACCTCCACAAGCCAAGTTGTAAAGTATACAGTTTGATTCCTGGGTGCTATAAACGGGCTGAGGATCCAGGTTTATTTTCTTTGCTGAGTTTGTCTTTGCTCATCAGAGAGACCCAAACACTGGAAGACAACAGCAGGCTGGGAGGTGTCGAAGAAAGATGGGGGGGCGGGGGGGGAGCAGATTTGGAAAGAAGAGTGGAAATATAAAATTGTTTAAAACAGGTGAAAGAATGGAGAAAATGTGGAGGGTTCAATGTATGGGTCATAAAAAAAGGAAAAAAGGAGGGATTGAGAGGGATGAACATGGGGAGGAATTATGGGCTGTGATTCATCAGCTCGTAAATACCATTTAAACAGATAAAATGTTGTGTCCACTCAATATCTGAGGGTAGAGGACTGGTTTTGGAAGTGACTGTAGGTCAGAGGATATTTGTGCATTGTGTAGTTGGACATCTAAAAGATGGAGCCAAAGGGTGTGGATTTGCTGCCACTGCTGCTGAGACTTATCAAAACAGCTCCTACATTCTTAGTCAATCACCCGGCCTCCCAGAGGACTAAACACTTCTCCCAGTGTTTGTACTTAGGTAAACAGTGACAAGTGGGCTGTCTGGGGCCCCTGTGGCCTTGTTATAGACGCACTACACAGAGAGCCTCCATTGCTGCCCCCTCTGAGGGTCCACAAATGACGCAAGAACAAACACACGTTGATCGCATAGAAACAAGTGCAGACGCAGATGCACATATGAAACAGGTTTTTTTTCCGTGTGTATCTTCCCGCACAGGCACACTTCTTTGGCTCCTGAGGCGGTATGATGGTTGTGCTGCAAGGGCCCCACAATGCTGACAGGGCCCTGGTGGTCAAAGAACATTAACTCTTGGGCTAGATGCCAGCGCTTAACAACACAAACACTCATCAACCCCATCATTTACAAGCATCCTATGTTTCAACACACACATATGCACATACATATAACACAAGGCCCTGGTGGCAAGGCCCCAAGGCCACAGACTCCAGCTACTCATAGTTTCTGCTACTGTACGAGAAAGGAGTAAACTCCTGCCACATTGTCAAAGCCGAGGATAAGCATCAGCTAGGGACCACATTTGCTGTTGCTCCCTAAAAACTCAGATTGTAACTTTTCCATTGACTTTGCACATGCCTGCACACAAAACTACAGTTCATTATACACTCTGGGTTTGATATTTTATCTGACCAAAAAATGTAAATACAGGTTATTGTTTTCCCTAAATGAAGAGGCAGGTTTATACTCAATCAAGCCCCAGCTTACACAAATCAAACACAACTCACAGCCTGCCTGGAGTATCTGTAAGTCAAAGCATGTACAAAACAAAAGCACTGATGACATTTTTCCAGCTTTGAAAATCCTTTCCAAACAAAACTGATTTTTAAAGACATATTGTATGTGTTAAAAATAACTCAACTACTCATGACAATAAAACAACTTACATTTCACTCAAATTCAGGAATCAGCAGCAGAATTATGTAAACAACAAAGGCTAAAAGAAAAAGCTCATAGTTTGGTGTTGGGTGGGGTCAACTGGACTAATTAATCATGTAGCACCACATGAAAGAAAGGGAAAAGAAAAACTGAAAAACTAACGTAGATAATACATAAATAAAAGGTGAAAAACTAACTGAATGAATTAAATTATTTATGTGCAATAGTTGTTTGGCAAAACTATGAGAAGAGGATTGTGCAACATAGATTTTTAGATTCATGAATCTCACATTTCATGAAAACAAACAAACCTCAGTGGGAGAGCCAAAGTCTGCCGACGGGCTGCAGGTGCTGGCGTCTGGCAGGGCGGTGCCGGCACTGCTGCGCACGGGGGAGGCCAGCGCAGCAGTGGGGGGGTCCAGGACGCTGGATGCCTGCCGAAGGATGCCATGCTTCTGGAGGCGAGCCCATGTAGAGCTCCAGCTGAAGAGGAGCTCATACAATAGCTGAACCTGGAGAGTGACAGAGGCAGAGAAGAAGCACTAATTGAGATGATATGTAAACACATTTTTTCCAACATTAGGAACAACTTTAATGAATATGCCCATGACAATCTAATTGTTTCTTATCTGAGAACACAGAAATATAGAAAGCTCTTTCTCTTTACATTTAGCTTTGTATGCAAAAATGTAATCTAACCCTAACCCACGGCATTGCTAAAACAGCTGAATACACTTTCAATAGATGAAGTTTACTGTGCCCATTGAGGTCTTTGAAAGATAGCCTGAAACACCACAAGTTATAGTATTTGAAAGCAGTTTCAAATATATGTTTTTGGCAAGGTCTGACTCAAAAAGCTGTAATGGGTGTTTCTCATGTACTTCTGAAGCCATTACCACAATTTCGCTTGGCAGCTCCGTAGGTATGTGACACAAAACGTAGTTATAGTTGAGAGGAAAGGAAAGAGACGAGGCGGGGACCTTAGCCAGTAATGGACCACTATCCATTCCTATTTCACTATTCAGCTGTGCACTCTTTTAGTATTAAGACTTGTCATTTCAAGAGGCCTCATCTCACAAAAGTGATGTAAAAGCTATGTGTTCATGTTTCTATTCAATGTGTAACCATCTGCAAGCCACAGAATGGTCTACGGGTTTCACTGTTCACATCCATAACAACAAAACTCCCAAAGAAACACCCACAGATGAAAATTAAGTTGTGTCATCAATTTCCCTGAAAAACTCACCACGGTTAGGAAAAACTGAAGGCCCGCCGTCAAGTGTTCTCAACTATTTATCATGTGCTCACATGAAAAGAGGCCTGAGTTTTAAACAACAACAAAGCCAAAAACAAGAGTGGAAAACATGAGGGGAAGGCAGGGGAATGTGATGTGATGCTTTCAGTCATTCATGCATTCACTCCCTGTTAAAGGGAGAAAAGTGGCACTCTTTCACCGTGAGCTAATTTTTGGATTTCAAATGCTTCGCTCCTGCAGCCAACTGAACCCCCAGCCCCTACCACTGAGGGTCCCTCAAAAGCAAAGGTGCCCAGACACATGACCACACACACAACATCGTTTTCTCTACTCCAAACACATTTTGCTCACTCACACACTGTTAGCACACATTACAGGGAGGCCTTCCATAAATAAACATAAATCAAAGCAGCACAATACATTACAGCTGGGCCATTTCAAACATGTCCAGGAAGAGCTGCTAATGCCGATCCAGCAGCCTTCCAGGGACAGGGCCAACAGCTGTCTGCCATACCCGACCAACTGCACTGCCGTCAGCAGAGCTACGGCACCACACTCCCTCTCTGAGAGTCTGGAAGTCCAACCAAGGACAACAAGGCCTTCTGCAGTCAGCAGCACATGTGGAGGAGGTGAAGAATGCCCAATAGAGCTGAGTTAGGTTGCCTTATATCTGTCATCTATACTGTTTGGTCCATTTCAGCTAACTGGAGACTGAACAGAGGCTTCGTCATTCATAAAATCACACAGATGGAAGATGGGAGAGCATGCAAGTGGTGAGTGTTCCTGTTCCTTTATCTAAGCACAGTTTATACAAAGACTTCACAGAAGTGACATATTGTTGGGGTTTTGTAGTAGCTGAGTACATGTGTACAGATATACGAGTGCAAATGTGTTCACTAAAATGCTGTAAGGTGTCAAAGGTCAAAGCAAATGGTGGTGGTGATGTGTGTGTCTGCTGAATTCAAGGTGGTCCTGATAAAGTGAAAGTGTAGCTACTACCCCCATCCTTGTGACACTCATGAATCATTAACACAGAGACACACACTCAGATTGGAGAAGACACGTGCCATGCAAAGAACTGCAACACAAGCAGTCGTGTGTGTGTGTGTGTGTGTGTGTGTGTGTGTGTGTGTGTGTGTGTGTGTGTGTGTGTGTGTGTGTGTGTGTGTGTGTGTGTGTGTGTGTAACAAAGTATGTGTATTTATTCTTAATGGTTTACTCACCCTTCCAAAGCCTACTATATCTCAGCTGAAGTTGCATTTCATTTCACCCCAATTTTGAAGGACTGTTTATTTTCCCATGAAGTAATGTAGAGCAGATTATGGAAAATGTTATTTGAAATCACGAAAATGTAGTTTAGATTCCAGGAGAATCTAAGAGGCCAAACTCTTTGATTGTACTTGTTGACTCATAATGACTGTGATAATAAGTGATTGTTTTCCAAATGCTAGATGTTACCCCAACACCCACAGTAATACTTTACACCCTAACACTAACTGTCTTAGTGGTTCTTATTGTGAGGCGACTGTGCAGCGCTCCAACATCCCAACATACATTCCCACAAATGGAAATGCTAATTAGAAAAATAAGTATGTAGTGTGAGGTCTCTTTTGTTCTGCAGCGGAGGGATGCTCTGGCAGCAGTTCTTAAAGAGCTGCTACACGACTTGAAACGGTACAGAGCTTATAACCCCCCAAGGGTCAGACATGTACAGCAAAGAGTGAAAAAGAGAGAGGAGGAGACCAGATGGGAAGAGAAAGCAGAAAGATTGCAATGAGAGAGAAGAGAGGTTTTTATTGGACCCAAAAACTAATAATGACTCATCATATAATCGCAAAAAGTCCTCTCAGCTTTGCCAGACACAGGCACTAAATTGGAAAGCGAGAAGAGAAAAGAAAGACAATAAACTTTCCCTCAATAAACCAGCGGCTCTCTTCATCGCTGGGAAAGTTTTCACCACTACCAATTTAAGGCCTTTCATTTGTTTCTGGTTCCAATTCTCCTCAATATCACCATGGCTCATCTCTGTGGTCAGTGACATTTAACAGTGGGACCACTAAAAAGGTCTCTCCAATAAAGTGTTTACTGAGTAACCTAATTAAATACAGCTAATTATCTTTTTATTTTTCATTCCTTACAGGTTAACAAACAGACATATACGTAGACAAGAAAAAAAAAGACAAACACAAAAGACATCACAACAGGGCTATGTATCCCTTGCTCGCAGGCAAGAGCTCTTTAACAGTCATTAAGCAATCCTCCTTGTTTTTTAATCTAAACAAAATCTGGCCTTGTCACGGGGTCACCAGGTCACGCCATCCCTTCCACCTCTTCTCAAATGTTCCACTCTGTAGTCTCAGTGCATATGTCAACTTTTTCATTATATATATCTGATGAATCACGTCCATCCACTCTCCCTCCGTCGGGAGCTCTTGGCTCATCCACTTCCTAGTTATAGATTTTTTGGTTGTCACCCTTAAAATGTTAAAAATGAAGTCTACTTTCCCCGAGTACATTACTTCAAATTTCAGTGGTACTTTTGCATTAAGCATTTTTACCATATAATTGTGGGCCTGAGTCCAAAGAGGGATTATGGATGGACATTCCCAGAACAGGTGAAAATGGTTGGCATTCACATTACCGCATTTCCTCCAGTAGTCCGCCCCAGTTTCCCTATACTTTTTTTGAGCAGGCGTGATGAAGAACCTGACCGTGTTCTTCCATTCAAACTCCCTCCAGGTCTGGGAATTGGTTGTTTTCCATTGTTGTTTACATATTTGTCCCCCATTCTTCTGTCGTAATAGTAACATTTGCTTCTCGCTCCCACTTTTCCTTGATGTAGGATGTATCTGTCAATTTCGTGTTCTGTAAACCATTATATATTTTTGCTATTAACCTTCTACACTGTTCCGAATTGTATGCATCTACAAATACCCTCAACACGCCTTGTTCTATGATTTTTTACATGTACTTTTGTGATTTTCTGGTTCAAATAATGCCGTATTTGGAGATACCTATAAAAATCATGCTTTTCCAATCCATATTTTGAGGCAGGGGAGAGCCATTCCCCCTTTCTCTTTCGGTAGTTTTTAGTGTTTTTAGTCTGATTCTGGGCCTTTTCCCCTGCCACACAAATCTAGAGATCATTCTGTCCCACTCTATGAATTGTTTCTCAGTGACTGCTACAGGAAGTGTCTAGAAGACGATACCGGAGCCTTGGTAGGACATTCATTTTCACAGAGTGGGCGACTGTGGCTGTGAGGGAGTGCAGTCGTCTTTCAACCAGAAGGTTGTGGGTTCGATCCCAGCCCCTGCAGTCAACATGTCGATGTATCCT